GACCAGTTTGAGACTATATCGGGACTTGTTCAGGAATTTTTCGCGGCTATTTGAAGTCTAGTTCGGGACACGGAACTTTAAACATCAAATTTCATGAGTATCCGGTACCATCGCCTTATTTTAATTAAAAACTGGGAAAAAATTTCATTGTGCACTCAACATTTGGAATGATAGTATCAAGTGAATATTCTTAAAAGGTTTAACCGATAGAAAGAAGACAATGAGATTTAAATGTGTAGTAAAAAGTGTTTTTGTGTTTTTTAGTTTTTTGTATCGCCCGATAGTCAATTGTACCATCTCCTCAGATACCAATGCATCAAGAAAGTTTTTTCTCACAAATTGTCCAGCAGACTTTACCCTTGATATTTCTTTTTTAATGCATATATGCATGTAAATACATATATGTATATATATACGCTTCCTCATTAAGTGAATCGTTTTACATTTTATTGTTATTGGTTGCTTTCAAATGCGGTCAGTTCATTTCTTTGGAGTTTTGTGTTTTTTTTTTGTCAGCTAAAACTATTGCTCTTATTTGGAATTTTTATTATACATATGTATTTTCACTTGTACATAACTAAGGGCCAATTTCACAGTGCGTATTTAACTCAGAATCGACAGTTAACTAGAGATTTTCAGTACAAAATTCTGTAGTTAACTCCCGATTCTGAGTTAACTACGCATTGTGAAATTGGCCCTAAGTATTTCCTAATATACTTAATTTTTTATCGCATCTTAATTGCTACTTAAATTATTGTTAGGTTGTGTGCTCTTTTAAATTTATCTTATTTTTTTTTTATGTTATCTATTTACTAAATTACTAAGATATGCACAATTAAATAAGAAAAATCTATAAGATTTTATTTACACTACTTAATATTCCCATGTCTAGTTTTATACCTTTCTTAACTACTATATAAATCCCCTTTTTACAATTTCTTAGTAGTAGTATTTAACAAATTTCAATTAAATATTTACTAAGTGTATTTTCTCAACCTAACCGCACTGAGTTTATGCTCTTTCAGGGCAATATTCTTTTTCTAGTGCACAACCCATTTTCATTTCATTCTATCTCGTATACAAAAAGAATTCGACATAATTCGGAAGCTGTTTTTTACTTAAATTGATTATGTTTTTTTCACAAATAATATCCGAATTTCCCGGTTTTGAACGAAAATAAAAAACAGATCCAAAAAAATTTCAGAGAAAATCTCAATAAGTCTCGTTTAAAAATTGGTGTACAAACTTTCAAACTTTTTTCAACGATAAATAAAATTGAGGAGGAGTAATACATATTGTATAATAACCACGCTTTGCTCCGGTAAATAATTTGACCAGAATCTAGTTTTAAAATATGCTCTCAGATATCGATTTTGGAACAGGGTTCGTTGACTTCTTATTGAAGTCAGATACTCCAGTGCAATGGTTCTCGAGTTCTAGCTTGATTTCAACACAGATGATAAAGGCTGTCTTGATCTATTTTTTGAGTAATATACTTTCGGCTTTTAAGCAGAATTATTCACAATACCTTAAGGTTTTCCAACCGCCTGCTTACCAGTGCCTGGTGCCAGCTAGGAGCAGTCTATCGAAGGCAGAGTCGCTCCTGGTTGCTTTGCTGCATAGTTTTATTTTAAGTCTCTTATATCATTTCAAGGAAATAACGCTATAGGGAGCGAGGATTCGAGATATTCAGGAGTAACAAATGCAATAAGGTCCTGCCCGACAGACGTCATCCTCAGTCTCATCTTTATCTATACTTACCTAACAAAAGTGACTATGGAGTTGGCAGTTAGGCTGTAAGAGTAAGATCTGCGGAGAATAAGACACGGCGGCATTGTGTTGATCCTTAACGAAAAGCAATTAGAAAAGGGGACACACCGCAAGATAGCCAATCTTAACTTAAAAATAATCTAGATGACCGATAAAACAGTTTTATTTCTCCACGCCGACGGATCACATATGGACTGCGGTGTAGGAGAGGTAGTCTGCTCTGAGGAATTTAGGTTCGCTTCGCCGGTATGTCTGAAACAGATACAAGCATCTTCAAAGTAGAAGTTCTTAGTTTCTTTGATGCCTCTGACCAATTAGGAAATGAAGTCGGAAACAAAAATCTGCGGTTATAAAATTTTAACCAATAAAAACATACAAAATGAAATTACTCTCAGTACGAGAGCTAATGGTTTTCTCTCTTGCCTGGGTACGCGCATATAATAACAAGGAAGGTCATGAGCAGACCGTCGGGCAAACGCGTGAATCCAAACGCGGCTTGGGTTACACTCTTGCAATAATCCAAAAATTAATTTACTTGCAGCTCCTTCGACTGAGTACCAAATGGTGATGAGACGTACAGACATGCTAGTTATAAAGGAAACGCTCACTTGACTATAAGAAAGTGAAAATATAGGATCTGCTGATTATATCTAGTAAAAAAGTTATCATGTGTCCCATACGGGAATACTAAGAAGGCCTCATAATTGAACTAGCCTCACTTGTCAGCTAAAAGATAGCAAAGAAAATGTCCAGCATTTCCTCTGTGAATGCCATGACATTCAAAAAAATTTGGCGCAAAGCATTAAGAGAAGACATAGTAATAAAACTAGCGGATTCATGAAAATTTTCTATGAGCAAAGTAAATCGGTAGATTCATCAAAAATTCTGGTGGCTCGACCAAACAATCTAGGATAAAACTCATTCCCTATGAGAAGTGTATCAAAATGATGGAAAAATGCCGTAATTATATTCCATAAAGCACCATCACAAACAAACCAACATGCATCTGATAACAACCCCAACGATTTTAACTAGTTTTAGATCGCCATATATTCATTGTAGAATTTTCTAAAAAAATAAGCTCGAAAAATTTATTATTTTTATACGTTGGTCCGATATTTGTAAGTACCAGAAGAAGAAGTGATAGATCCATTAAAATGCATACCAAAATAATCAGAACGTCGAGCCGAGTCGATTTAGCTAAGTCTACCCGTCTATATGTCTGTTAGAACGCGAATTAGTCACTCAGTTTTCGAGATATCCAACTGAAATTTACTGACTGTATGTAATTTTGTATTGTATTAATCATTTGAAGGAACCCGCAAAATCGGACCACTATAAAATATGGCACCCATTCAACTGTCTGTTCAGATATGAGATTTTTTTGTAACCCTTCCATTTATGCAGCAAGGAATATGGAGTTCCGCACAGTTTACACCCGTTATCAACAGAAAACTTGTGGTGAAAGTGAAAAAGATCGGGTCACTATAACATATAGCCTTTCAAACCCCTTCATTTGAATGGTTAAAACCGAGAAATGTAGTGGGCTATTTTCTAGGTTAGGTTGAAAAAGCTGCTAGACTTAAAGGAAGGCAGCCCACTTAGGCCAAATCAGGGGTCCATTGTGATACCACATGGATCAAAAACCCCAAGGTTAGGTTAGATTTAGGTGGCTGCCCCTTATAAGGGGCGCACTTAGACCGTAGAAGTTGGTCGCTGAGTGCGGAGAACGAAGTTTCGCAGGGGCAAATCTTAATCTCGGAGAGCTTTTCAGGACCTAAGCCAAAATCTAGCAAAAGCTGGGCAGATTAGGAAGGAAATGCTGTGATGACTCCACCTCACCTTCCTCCATAGAGCTGCGACTAACGGGGTCCGGTAAGACATTTCATTTCACTGTATGAACCCGGATGAAATAGGATAAGCCTTTTCAGTACACCCACTAGAACCGAGAGATTCGGCTCACGAGCTTAAAGAGATATTGAGACCGCCCCGGTCTACTCTCACCTAGACAGACCTCGCCGTAGAACATGCCTCCAGCGTTCGCTGAGTTGACTCGAGGACCATATTCCCAAGAGAAGTCCACACTTAGTCAACGGAACTCCCACCTTCTCTCTTCTTGGTGATAATTCATAAAGGGCTCCGCCTCTCACCAGTTAATCAGCCGCACAGTTTCCTGCCATATCACTATGGACTGCCACCAAGACAAGTCTGATAAAGTAGTACTTCGACGCTATCCAAAGCGAATTTAAGGCATTCCTCAATAAGCTTCGAGTGTGCCATAAGTGAGCCTGATTGCCGCCTGGCTCTCTGAGTAGATGTTAACCTCCCTCACCGCCATTGCGCCTAACTAGCAGCAGACAATCGACTGGTTTCTTAATAGCAGCAACCTCTGGCTGAAACATACTATAGTGATCCTGAAGCCTAAATTTAAGGTTGATGGAGAGCTCACTGAAAAAAAACACCTCCATCGACCCTTCCATCAAGCTTCGTCCAATCCGTGTAAAAGTTCACCGTTGCCTCCCTAAAACCACCGCCTTGCATCAATACATACCTAGAAAAAATATGCTTTGATAAATAGCTAGCTGGAGAAAAAATCCGTACACCTTAAGCCAATACGGGGTGTTACGAACCTCAGCATAGCCGCTGCCGTATTCCAAACTTATCAGTTGCGCTGGGACCAACTCAAAAACCTATAACTATCGTAATCGTGAAGCAAGTGCCTGGTTGCTTTGGGCTCTTCTTCGTGGTGACAGCTCCTGCAGAAGTCATTGTAACTGACCCCGAGGCGTTATGTATGGCTTCCTATCAGGATATGTCCTGCGGGAAGGCCAATGGCCAGTAACAAATCGTCCTTATTGAGACTGAGAATTTCTCTCGATCTCCGTATATTCCATTTCGGCCAAATAAGCTTCGTTTTATTGCAGGTTGCAGTGCGCTCCCATCTGGTTACCGCTTCTTATTTCTAAATAATCATGCAAAGTCTACCGAGAAAATTGGTTTTGTTATTTAACTCCTTTATATAAATATGTATGCAGTGAAGGTACAAAATTCTCCCACTCCCACCCAAAAATTTAAATTCAGTAATCGGTTTAAGTAAAATTTTCTGATGCTCATGAAAGATATGAAGCCTTCGGCATAGCCAAAGACTGCACTGGTCATGTTTTGTATTATTTTTTAGATATTTTGTAAAATAAAAAAGAGCGCATAAAGTGAGCGCTTGATGACGCATAGATAAAATATATAAATCTTAAAATACTAAATCAACAAAAATACGCTCGAAATCTTTCAAATTATCCCCAACCCATAGCCCCCATTTGATTTAAAAAGTCATAGCTATGCATATTGCGCCTCCACCCTTACCCCCACCCCCTATCTCATAACCTACACTACTACAACTAAATTTCATTTATACTTATATTTCTCAAACACTTAAACGCAACTCTCCTGCTGCGAGTACATCAATGGCGTTCGCACCGTCACAATTTCACGCGAATACGATTTCCCGATGGCCGAGAGCCCCGACAACGAGCTGCTCGGACTCGTCACCGCCGCAGTCGTCGTAGCCGAACCGAGACCACTGCTATTGCTCGATACCAGCATTTGACCGGTGGCTTGCTGTTGTTGCAGCTGTTGCTGCTGCTGATGTTGTTGGTATGTTGGTGGCATTGGCAGCGTACCATGATGATGATAAACACTGCCAGTGCTACCTTGAACAACTGCTGCCGCCGCCATCATTTGCAGCATAGATGAGGCGGATGTATTGTGCGTTTGTTGTTGTTGATGCGATTGTTGCTGATGCGCTAGTTGCTGTTGCTGCTGTTGCTGTTGCTGCTGCTGCTGCTGCTGCTGATGATGATGGTTGTGTGGCAGCGTATGATAGCCGCCAGGATGTGAGGGCAAGGTATACATCTGCACTGTGCCGGGCGAAACCGTTGATGGCGTACCCTGCGAGGCAGGCGATGAGATACAAGGCGGGAATGGCGACACTGAGGCGGAGGAGGAACAGCCACCATTGCTGCCGGCGTTTGCCGCTGTTGCCGTCGCCGTTGTTGTTTTGTAATGATCGATTTGCGCGTATATCGTTGGCTCTTCGAAGTAGTCATAGGAAGGTGGCGGTGGCTGTTGCGCTGCCGCTTGTGGCTTATGGCGTTGTAGTGTGCTCGCACCGGCATTGGCTGGTATGCTGGGTAGCAATTTGCGTATGCTGGAGCCATGCGGCAGTGTGCCACCGATTGGCATGGACATGTTGTTCGTATTTATGCCAGCGCCCTGCAGCAACATGCTGCTGCTGCAATCGACAGAAATCGATTTTTTGGGCATACTACTGGAGCTGGCGCCGCCAACGGCAACGCTGCCGGGTGCAAGTGAGAGCTCTGCGTAGTGTAGCTCGTCGTCCTGTAAACAGAAGAAAATTGCAAATGTTTAGAAACATAGAGCGACGAAACGATATGGTTTTGCGGTATTGCAAGGATGTTATTTGAGATGCGTAAATTTGTTAGTATTACAAAACTCAAAGCAATTTCAACAAGCTCATTGATTAACCCTTCTGCAGTGTTTGGTGGGTAAATTCCAATAATGTTTTGGGTATTTTGGATCCAATAATAGAGATTAGTAAATTTTAAGAAAAAAATAAACGATTGAAATATAGTTCATTCTTTAACAAAACCCGTGTAAATCCAAGTTTCAAACTTTGTACAATATTAAAAAAAAAATCAAAAAACTTTCGTAAATTTTTTTAATTAGATTTCCTAGTAAGATTCTGAGTATGCAGTTTTATAGCCCTTTGAATTCTAGTAGAACAAAGTATTAGTTTCAATTGACAAAAAAATACTGTTGATTGATGAGACGGAGTTCTTACCATTTTTTCTTACCTTTTTTTGCTGAAAATTGGTTTCATTTTTCATTACATTCGGTTATCCTTAGTAAAATTTGGCGCCTAATATTTTAGTGGAAGTTTTAACCACTTATAGGCCATTTTTTAACCAATAAACCCCCACCAGAAAGTGCCTTTTTGACCCAATGTTTAAGTAGTATTGGAGAAAATTGACCACTGCGTAAAAAATTGTCAGATTTCGAGTGTTCGACCTAATTTGACTGTAATAAACGCTTTCGATTGAAAAACGTGTTTCCTTTGTTTTATAATCCTAGTCAGTGGCCAAAATTAGTCAAAATAATAACTATTTTAAAGATGTAATTTTCATTTCGTAAAATAGCGTTATTTATATGTATTTCAATGTGCATACATGATGAAAATTTTGTACTAAATTTCTTAGTAATTATTATATTTTATGACTTCCGCCAAAATTTTTCTGAAAAAATTTTAAGATTTACGTGAGCTGCACCGATTTCAAAATTGCTCTCAAAATCACATTATTTTGATTCCGTTGATATAATTTCTAAACATTCTATGCATAAACTTTTCTAACAGTTGAAGCGTTTTCTTGGAAAAAATATTTTTTTTTGATTTATAAAAAACTCGGTTTTTGGAGGTATTTTCAAACAGGTTCAGCTCAAGTAAATCTTAATATTTTTTCGAAATATTTTGGCGGAAGTCTCAAAATATACTAGATTTTATATTTCCGATGGAAAACAGTATAAATTTTTCATATGGACAGTGATGCACCCTAATACATACATATATGTCTATGCAATATTTTATTGTTATTGGTTGTAAAAAACTACGGAAAATTCCCCATATCTATATACAATTTTGAATCAATATAATAAGATTACTTCGCAGATTAAATATAAATGTGAACCAGGTTTAAAAGTTGTCGACGAGAGAAATCAGCAGGGGCCTATCCGGATTTCCTGCATCAAAAATAAAACCAGCAAAGTAACTATTTTAAACCATCCCGATTACTTTCCAGAAGTAAGGATTCTGATTTATACGAGTTGGTACTTAGTTCACATGAGTTTCGCAAAAATTCAAAAGAAAAAATATCTTATAAAACAAAACTTATATTTTTGTAATTTTTATTAGAGACACATATTTTAAAAACTCATACAATGCCCACGAACCTATCTTAAAATTTCTTCTTTAAACCATCAATGCCAAGATACCTTTCAATTCCAAATTTTTTAGCTGACACAATGTCTCCGGACAAACTCCTTACGCAATTAATGCAAAATAATTCCGCAAAGTTATTAAACATTCAATTTTGTTGTAAAACAAAGTAATTAAAACTTTTGCCGATTGTCTACACGAAATCATCCTTGTGCAAGCACGTGTACCTACCAACTAACTTTATCTGAAGGTTCATATTTACACTGCCACATTATCGCCAACGCGACAGCCGTCACCGACGTAGAGCCATCCGTGTATATACGCGCTATTTGCGCAACATTTCATTATCTATGTATGTATTGACGCGCGGACGCCATCAATGACGATGTCGCGCTGGCAACACAAATGCCTACCGCCAACTTTTACTTTAAAAACATGCCACATAGACCCACACATTCTTAGCCATTCCGCCGAGCTCAACAAAAACAAAAGCTCGCACTTTGAAAGGGAAATGAAAGTAAATAAAAAACTTGAAAATTTTGTAGAGCATAAAAAGTAAAAGTTCTTTAAAAACTTGCTAAGAGTATGACGAAAAGGTCAGTATCTAACAATGAAACCCACAATGACAAATTTATTTTGTAAAGGCGGAGGGATCTAATTTCACCAAGTTGATATAACAGTTTATGTGCGAATGTATATATATGTATGCGCACAAGTGTGAATGCGTGTGGGTGTATGCCACTCACCTTATTGCTTTGGTACATGCCAAGCTCGTCTGTCGATGGCTTACAGCTGATTTCCGCTTCACTGGTTGTGGACAGATGGCCGGATGGTGTTTGTGTTGCTGATTTCTGTTTGTATTCACCATCGACTGCAAAGAAGGGAATAAATTTAAAATTATTTTTGTGGAATGATTTGACGTTGGTAAATACTGTAGAAACTTTTGATGGTTTTCATCTATTTTATGAATAAGTTAATGATTTTTAGACGACAATCAGCCCAATGGTAACTGTTTGAATATAATAACTTTAAAATTTAGTATGGTTTCGACTATCGATTTTTTCTATTATATTATTAAGCATATGTGACCTGGTCTACGAAAAGGGAGCTTACGTGCGAAAACTAGTTTTCTGTGAAAAAGCTGTTAAAAGTAAGCAACTCGTTTCGTCAGTTTCTCATTATCTCGTTAATTGTTCTCCGCGCATTATTATTTTTGGCCCATAATACGTTTTTCTAGTGTATAATCTTGTCTTTATAGCTTATAATTCAATGTATTTTGTTCATTACCAATAAATTATATTTTGTCGTATTTTTACTCTTCTTTCTCTACATTTTTAGTACACTTCTAAGCAAGTTAGGATTTTCTGCTTTTCACCACGTGAAAAAGCATCTCATCTTCCATCCGAATCAACCAAAAAGTGAAAATTGATTTTTTGACACCTAAGCCCCCTTTCCGTAGACCAGGTCACATATATCAAATCTATTTGATGTAAAATCTGCAACGACCTGACCATTATGATCCATTTGTATGACATGACCAAGCCAGCACACAGTGCTTCCCTTCCAAATAAAATGTGTGCAAAAATAGAATTATGAGCGGATTTAAATTAAAATTCGCTTCTTAGTAAAATTGAGGACGCTAAATTCAAAAATACTTTCATACTTTCACTGTAAATGCACGTAGAAGGGTTGCCTCATATTTATAAAAATAAAATTAACTTTAATTAAGGGAATGGTGTAACTGAAATATGTACACCAATATGAGTATCAGAAAAAAGGAAAAATTTGACATATTTAGCAAGAGATAAGTGAAGAGTAAAAACGTTCCAGAGTTAATTTAAGAGTCCAGTAATTTAAAAGCAATGCAATCAGAACAAATCGCTGTTTGACAATGCACGTATTTGTAATAAAATTACCAATAAGTTGTCGTAAAACGTTCTTCTGACGGAGCTGGTGATATTGCTCAACGTCATTTTACACAGCCAAATTCATACATCGCACATACATGTAGTATTCGCCCTGCCGCAGCGGCTTTAAAATTGACAAATACATAGATGGTCGGTATCGATTACATACTCGCGAGTCTTTTCCGAGATTCGGCGCATTTTGAATACCTGATCTACGGTGGATTTGCCTTTTCCATATAAATGGTAATTTCGTCGTTGATGTTATCTACATGACTTGGTCATGCAGTGATCATTAATGACATTCAAGCGACAATGAACTTTTTATAAGTGACCGGTGCAAGACATTGTCTGTTATAAGTCTTTGATAGGAGTACACCTGCATTACGTTGTCATACAGTGTCATTGTCAGCTATATGTCATTTAGGATTCAGAGCAAGTGCGACGATGTTACTAAATCCGCATTAGTGACGATGTCACCGCTGACCATTTTCGCTACTGGGTACGTGTAGTTGAGTCTGATTTAGAATGACATCCAAGGCAGCGGCGAAGCAAGTGCGGACTATGTAACTACTGGCTTGACTATCATGGTGTACATCGACCGCAAGATGTAGGGACTGCACACCATTAACTAAAACCTGAGTGGCTTTTGTGACAGTGTGCTTTATAATTTGTTTTCATAAAATAATACATATGATGTAAAAAACTTTCAAATGCATTTGGTTTACAGGGCAATTCTGGTAAAGTCTTTCCTAAGATATACATATGTTCATTCTGGCTACTTTGAAAGGTAATTCCTGTCGAAAGCTCTTTTCGAAAGACTAATTGAAAGATCCGCTAAGGAGGAGCTATAAGCGTTTTTCTGTTTGTCTTTTAGCAATAAGGTTTCTAAAAATTAAATCAAATATAAAAATTATATATTTTTCTTTTTTTGGGAACATAATTTAAAAATTAAAAGAAAATTACACTGAAAAAGGAAAATAGTAAAAATTGAAAAGTTTCTAAAAACTAAATTAATTTAAAAAATATTTATATTTATTTTTAACCCAAAATAAAATTAGTTTCTAAAAATTAAATGAAATAAAAAAAATATATTTCATTTGAAAAAAAAATTTCGGTAAATTAAGAAAAAATTAATCAATAGCAGCAACGAAATTTATTTAAATAAGAAAAAAATTAAATAAGTTCCTAAATATTAGCTGAAATAAATAAAATGTATTTAGCTGTTTAATAAAGCAATTCTAAGTAATAAGACAAAATTAAATTAAACATTAAAAAAAATAAAATTAATTCTTAAAAATTTAATTAGGTTAATATAAAACATATTTCTCTTTTTAAAATAATGTATTCTAAAAACCAAAAGACACTAAAAAAGGCGAACAAATATTT